CGAATGGGATAAAAGTGGAGCTCCAGGCTCTTGGAAGTGACTGACTCGAAAAGCATGAAACAATCGATGACTGTCACGGAAGGGATTTAATTCCAAACAATTTGCTCTATTTGGAAAGAAAACCTTTTGGTTTCGCTGTTAGCTCACGGGCCGGCAGTTAGACAGTGAGCAGCTGCATTGTTCCAGTGAGCCATCTTTGCCTCACGGCGCTTGTACCTGCCACTCCAGGAGGGGTGCTGACACAGCTCAACAGTACTGGGAGGTGGGGCACTCGAGAGCCCCACCCGTAGCACAGAAAGGGGCCCACTCGCACTGACTCAGTGACTCTCTCACTCTGTTTCCTCCTAGCCCCTTCCTTCTCCATATTGTTACATCTGTCCAGAGAAATGCAAATTGGATTCTGATCTGTGTCCAGAATTGCAGAAGCGACAGTCTAGTCGGACAGCTAGTCTTTGGCTCAGTCACACCTCTGACTGTAGACGCGCCTCTAATTCCTCAACCCATGATGTCAAGAGCCCTTGATTTGTTCAAGCGCAGAGTGAGTTAGTGGGTGAGAAGCAGACTTTTTACCTGCTGGTGAGTGGGGTTGATAGTCTGATCATGAGGGTATTGGATCCTCAGAATTATCCAGTGGGATTAATTTTTATTCCTCAGACTTGTACTTGGTTATGAAGGGCTAAAGGTTACTACTTCCTTCTGCCACACCAATTTCTTATATAAGGCAAAATTCTCTTTGGATCCCTGTTTTACCTCTGGTGCATCCATATTGCTGGATTAAAGGAAGACTGATTTCTAGTGGTAGTTGTTGAAATTTAGATGAAAAAGTAAAGGTTTATTCCATGCTGAAAAGAGAAGAAAAGAAACGTGTCAGCTGTGAAGCCTTCTTTGGGTGTCAAAATATGGAAATATAGACTCTCAAACATTGTACTCCTTAATGCACAGTTTACTACTATACCTGTTTCTAAGATTGGTAAGATAGTGTTACAATACACATGATTTATTTTAAAGAAATGTTATATTACTGTGTGTTTCTTTGGATAAAGAAGTCAGACAAATTTAATAACAGATGTTATAACCATGTATCCAGCTAGTTAGTGTTTTCAGGATTAGTTGCATCATGTACAGATTAGTATTGCGCTGTATTATGCATGGTTAGCTCACTGCAATGTCTGTAATATTAATGGTGACAGATAATTGGATAGGATGTGTCCCATGTTATAAAGGTATCTTAGTGCATTGTCACTAATATTTGGTGGGAACCTCTGTATGAATGCCTGATATTAATAACCCTTCATAAGCTTCCTAGTGACAAAAGCCTGTGTTACATTCTATTATACATAAGCATAAATTCTTATTCAGTGAATCCCAAAGCACATTCGCTCTTAACTGACATCAAGGCATGCATGAACTTAATCCAATTTTGAGATAAAATTATGTAATAATCCTATTTGAATATCAGTGCCCATTAAAACAATTTTGGCTGTATAAAGTGTGTAAGTGATAAAAACACTTCATGTTAAAAACTGACACGTTTTCTGGATCTACTGCACAGAGTTTGTTCAGAGCATGCAGGTGTGCCTTCATTAAATTAAAAGGCTCCCTAGATCTCTAACAGCTGTAGCTTATTTTCTTCTGGGACGTATTTTCCTTTTTTCTGCAGAATCCGGCTCACCTTGTTTCAAGGTCTCAGGTCCAAACAGGGACACAGCAACACCTTTATTTAAATAGAGCTTTTTATAATAGAAACACTTGAAAAAAAAAATAACTGCAGCTTTGATAAATCAGAGATCACTCAAGGGGAAGACTGAACTAATCGGAGGGGAAAGACAGAAGATATTTTATAACTGATATTCTCAATTTCAACAGACTAAGGCCATTAATATCTTGAGCAGGGAGGGGATTAGCAAACTGGGGTTTATAAATGCAAAATGCCCTACCACACTGCATGCAGGCTCTGGAACCTGGGAGAGAGACCAGGCTTCCTTCAGCGGAAGGCATGAAGGAATTAGCAGTTTGAGAGAATCTGGAATGTAAGATGTCACCATCACCATTTAGCTTTTTGTGTGTTTAAGCCATGAAATGTTAGTTAATTCTGGTCACAGAGTTTCAGGCCTGTCTAATTAGTGAGCTGCAGCATTCTAAACAACCTATAACCTTTGCTTTTCATCCTGTTTAGTTCATTTAGCCTGGCTTTGGTCACTCAAGAAACAGTGTTGAGTCAGCTATATTCTGCACTCTGGCTTGTGGTACACCTCAGGTTGTGAAGCTACAGCAGGGCAGATGACTTGCAATTAGCCAAAGGACTCATTGTGTCATTCAAGGCCCAAGTTGAGCTGTTTTTTCATGTACTCCAGCATGTGGCTGGGCTTGTTTGTAGGGCTTTAATCAGCATGCTGCAGAGCACGTCCTTTTGTACAATCAATCAACAGCTGTCGCTGTGCAGCGAGATGAGACCTGCGTGGCCAATCCCATGTGCCCTGGAATGATTGCTGAAAATTCTAGAATGTTGTCCCTTCCCACAGGTGTGTGTGTGTTGTCTAGCAACCTGTGTGGCCAATGTATCTGCTCAATCTCCCACACAGTGTGCCAGTTCCACTAAGAACAGAGGCCTCAGTTTTCAGAAGTCAGGCAAGGTGAGGATTAATCCTAAATTAGTTGTACAGTATGTAACCATACAGTGTGTAGTGCCGAAAGGTTTTCAAAAACAAATACTGGAGAATTTCTCAATGGGGGCGATATTATTCCAGCATTGTGTCTTTGATAGACAGTGTAAATAATTAAACATCCATGCACAAAATAACAACAAGAATAGGAATATCTGCATAGCACTTACATATATAACTATTTTTGTTGATTAGGCCCGGCTGCCATGAAGAGCAATTAATTTCCATGTTTATATTGGGGTTTCACAAACTTTTCTCAGTAGTGGAACACTTTTATTCAAGGAGCGTATGATGAATGCATGCATTGAGCAAAGTTTCTTTCGTTAGTTCACAGCATCATAACTCTTATATCTTCTACTGAGCTTGACTCAGTGCTACACTATCCTTTGCAGCTGCAGAATGCAAGTTTAGGAAGGCTTCCCAGACCTCGAACGGTGTCTGCAGATCTCCATTCCTGCTCATCTCTTAAGGACCCAAATCAGCTCGTTACAGGCTTAATTGGCTCCCAGCTCTTCAGTAGCTGGTGCTTTACAAGAGACCTAGAAATTTTACAGATAGACAACCCCTCCAGGACCACGATTGAAGGTGTCTGGCCTTATTTCTATAAAAGTACACATGCTCTGTGATTCTTTGCTCAGGACTAAAATCAATGAACTTGTCTCTAAATAACTTTATATCCACTCTTTCCGTTTTTATCACGCAAGATATTCACCCTCCTGTCAGCAGTCTTCCTTGACAAGTCTTTGATCTGAAAATACGATCACTAAATAAAAAGTAATTGATTACTGAAGCCAACAAGTCTCCGAAGATTGTTCACCTTATTAAGTTGAAGCCTGAGAAAGTAATTCCATCTGTGTTCTTACGTCGTCTAGTAAACGCAAATGTTCCTAATAAAATAATAATGTGTGGTACGCTGGCTTTCACCGTTGGACATAATTTGTAGCATAGCAATAAAGCAAGTAATAAAGATATCGATAAACATAACGATTCCGTATAAACTTTGACATTAAAGTAGAAGATATTTTGTGGTCATTTAACTAGTAGGGCATCCTTATTTTTCTCTTTAAGCAGTATAATTACAAGGGTAGGCTGTTAGTCTACCTGAAAGTGGGATTTATTTTTCCCTTCAGTGCATGAAGAATTATAAAAGAGCTCTGGGCTATAAGGACATCACACGTCATGTCAAATGTAACAAACGAGGTAAGGCACTTTTCACCTCTTCTGTAATCTCTGGATTCTGGCGCGGGCTATTTCCGTGCAGCTCGCGACTCTAATCCCCACAGACCTCATCGAGCTTTGAGCAGGAGAGTCGGAGCAGAGCAAAAGGATTTGCGCTTTTTTGCTCCAGGTAAGCGACAGGAAAGACGCTGCTAAACCGCTATACATTCACAACAATCGTCGTGCTGTACTAAGTAGACAGTTCTTTGGGAACCTTAGTAATCGCAGCACTCCCGTACGAAAGGTAATATACGTTAATT